GTAGTCTCAGCACAGCCCTTCCTCTGCTGCCTTTGTGGTATGATCTTCCCTGGGCGAGCTGGCTACAGGCTTCACCGGCGCCAGGCTCACAATTCCTCTGGTATGACTGAGGGCTCAGAGGAGGAGGGGGAAGAAGAAGGAGCTGTAGAGGCGGCCTCCACCCAGTCCCCTCCACTGCAACTCTCAGAAGCAGAGCTGCTGAATCAGCTGCAGAGAGAGGTGGAAGCATTGGATGGAGCAGGTTATGGGCACATCTGTGGCTGCTGTGGTCAGACCTATGATGACCTGGGGAGCCTAGAACGTCACCACCAAAGTCAGAATTCAGAAAACACCACAGACAAGGCTTCCAGCTGCTTGGAAATGTTAGACGATGCCACGGAAGTGGTTGCTGACAGTGTCTTTGAGGGCATAGTGACCTCTGTTTCTGGAGAGGGTGGGGACACAAAGTCTGAAGAGGAAATAGGTGGCACAGTTGCAGACAACCTTTGCATGCAGGTTGATGAAAGTTTTCTGGAGGTCCAACCCCGTCCCTTTCGCTGCAACCAATGTGGCAAGACTTATCGCCATGGGGGCAGCCTAGTGAACCACCGTAAGATCCACCAGACTGGGGACTTCATCTGTCCTGTTTGCTCCCGCTGCTACCCCAACCTGGCTGCCTACCGTAATCATCTGCGGAACCACCCTCGCTGCAAAGGCTCTGAGCCTCAAGTGGGACCCATTCCAGAGGCAGGAGGCAGTAGTGAGCCCCAGAATGTGGCAGAGAAGGTGCCAGAGCAGGCAGAAGTCGGAAAGCTCCAGGAAGAACTTAAAGTGGAGCCCTTGGAGGAGGTGGCTAGAGTGAAGGAAGAGGCATGGGAAGAGACCACTGTGAAGGGGGAGGAGATAGAGCCAAGGTTGGAGACGGCAGAGAAGGGCTGTCAGACAGAGGCCAGCTCTGAGCGGCCCTTCAGCTGTGAGGTGTGTGGCCGCTCATACAAACATGCTGGTAGCCTCATCAATCACCGGCAGAGCCATCAGACTGGCCACTTTGGCTGCCAGGCTTGCTCCAAGGGCTTTTCAAACCTTATGTCTCTCAAGAACCACCGGCGCATCCATGCAGACCCTCGGCGTTTCCGTTGCAACGAATGTGGGAAGGCCTTTCGCTTGAGGAAACAGCTGGCTAGTCACCAGCGAGTCCATTTTGAGCGGCGTGGGGGTACCCAAAAGATGACTCGAGAAGATCGTCCCTTCCGATGTGGTCAGTGTGGACGGACCTACCGCCATGCAGGCAGCCTCCTGAACCACCGGCGCAGCCATGAGACAGGCCAATACAGCTGCCCCACTTGCCCCAAGACTTACTCAAACCGCATGGCCCTTAAGGACCATCAGAGGCTGCACTCTGACAGTCGGCGGCGGCGGGCAGGCCGGTCCCGGCGGGCAGCTGTACGCTGTGCTGTCTGTGGCCGGGGCTTTCCTGGCCGGGGATCTCTAGAGCGGCACCTGAGGGAGCATGAGGAAAAGACTAAACAGGAGCTGGCCAATGGCCATGGAGACCCAAGTGGTACAGAAGGCAATGAAGAGAACCTGGCCAATGAGCTGGGACTTAAAGACAGATCAGGTAGTATTGAGTCAGTACCCCAGGTAGAAGATGGAGCCATAAGACCAGGGGAACACAGTCAGAGCCCCATCAGGGCAGAAGGTTCAGATGCTGCAGAGCTACTGTCATGGGACGTGGGGAAGGCAGACGGGTGGCAAGGAGATAGGAAACTAATGAATCACAGTGGAGATTGGGTTCTTCAGGGTCAGCTGTTAACTAAGCCAGAAGACAAATCAGAAGACAATGTCCCCAGTAGTCCTTGCCATCTTCCTGACAGTCAGTCCAATGGACCTAGTCTGAGTCATGTGGATAACTGGGACAATGGAGACAGCAGCTCTCAGTTCCAGCCAGAGAGCCATTCCTATTCTTGTAGCCAATGTGGTAAGACCTTTTGCCAATCAGATGGCCTTTTGAACCATAATACCCACAAGACAGATCGCCACTATTGCCTGCTTTGCTCCAAGAATTTCTTAAATCCTGTAGCCACTAAGAGTCACAGCCACAACCACATAGCTGCTCAGGCTTTTGCCTGCCCTGACTGTGGCAAGGCCTTTCAGTGCCACCATGAACTGGTCACCCATCTGCAGACTCATGCCAAGGGCTACAGTCAGATGCCAAGTCAGATAGAGGAGGCCAGAGGTCCCCAATCTGGGATTATAGAGGACAAAGCAGGTCTCCCTGGTCAAGAGAAAGCTCAGGAGGCCACTTCAGAACACCCCAGGGCTCCAGAAGAGAATGCTGAGAAAGCTAGTGGAGGCCAAGGAGTAAATTCCATAGCAGCTGAAGACAAGGAGCGGCCTTTCCGCTGTGCCCAGTGTGGGCGTTCCTACCGCCATGCTGGGAGCCTGCTGAACCACCAGAAGGCCCACACCACTGGACTGTATCCCTGCTCCCTGTGCCCTAAACTTCTACCTAATCTGCTGTCTCTTAAGAACCATGGCAGGACCCACACAGACCCCAAACGCCACCGCTGCAACATCTGTGGCAAGGCCTTCCGGACAGCTGCCCGGCTAGAGGGCCATGGGCGGGTCCATGCACCTCGGGAGGGACCTTTCACCTGCCCCCATTGTCCCCGCCACTTCCGCCGCCGAATCAGCTTCCTGCAGCATCAGCAACAACACCAAGAAGAATGGACAGTGGCCAGATCTGGTAAGCGGGCATGAATGGGCTTGGGTAGAGGATTGAAGGGTCACAGAAAGAGGGTGGGCATTAGAGGAAGGTAAAACCAGGCCCTAAGGTAGGTGTGGAATAAGGAATGAGAGAGCTACATATACTCTAAGAGGGTGGGGGACCTAAAGTGAAGAAAACTAGTTCAAGGATGCTGCCTTTTGAGCAACTGAGATCTGAACCAATCCCTGTTGTCAAGGAGAAGCGATAGGCTGACTGGACGAGGTCTGTGCTATATCCTTCATCCCAGAGGTGAGCTGAGGCATCTTTCAGGCTTTGTGGCCTGAGAGTGTCTTAGGGGTAGACTCTAAGGGGAAATGCAACTATTATTGAAATAATGTAGGGTGGATCCTGGGCTCCATCCTGGGCTCACATAAATGTATGGGTTAAACTCATTTTGAAATCTGATTGACACTTCAAATAAGAACAAGCTCTTTGGGGTGTAGGATAGAGAGTGGGCCAGCTGAAAGGCAGCCCTAGCTATTTTAGAGGCACCATAGGGGAAGCACACATGCTTTGTTAACTAGAATTTACATGTAAGCCCCACTTTCCCCTAAAGTGAGACCTGGAGCTCATCATTCAACCTCTCAGGGACTCTGCTTCCTTGTTTGTAAAATGAAAACGTTAATACCAAACCATGGTCAGATAAATAGTGCAGTGGGTTGGGGCAGGTAGCTGTGTAGGCTCCTGTGCTATAGTCAAAGAGGAATTCCTTTTTGTTTCAGTGGTAGGGGAGGGAATAGCTGAATATTTCTTGACTATTATATATGGAAACCCTCCTGATTAAGCCAGTAATTATTTTCAGAGGAAAAAAAAAAGTGAAGTCATTGATTTTGTGTAGGTTTTTTTCTTTCTCAAAATGGGCATGGGTGGGGAATTATTGGGAATGCCAGGATTCCTGTGTTCTCATATAGGGTGGGTGTGGGGGAAATGGCCTACAGGTCTGGGTGAGGTGTGGGATCAGCCCCCTCAATCAGTGACTGCCTCTGCTTTGACTGCTTTATGATTTCACTACTGACTTGGCTGTGGAAACTGGGTCACTGGTCAGTATGCAGTTCCTTGTCCCTCTTTCCCTATATCTTGTCTCTGCTCTTTTTTCTTGGAAACTAGGCCTCTAATCCTTTCCTAGGACCTTTGCTCCCACATCTCTTTTTCTTTCTTTAGTCAACTCTTATGTTCTCCCTCTGCTGGCCATCTTTTTAAGATCTAACCAAACCACCCTTTCCACCTGCAACCCCCCACCCCCTGCATGCCTTAACTTGGAGGACTGAGTCACAGATAATTATTTCTTTGAAGCCTGGCTTAGCTGTAGCAATAGCAGTTATTAGCCCCTATCTCTCATCCTCTATCGAGGGGATCTCAGGGTAGACTCGCCTCCACCCAGCCTGTTGAAGGATGTGGAGGAGTGGGACAGCCTCTTCAGCAAGCCCTGGGCTCTATCCCTCCACCTCCTAGAGAGGAGGACCCATTCCATCTAGTGGCCACCAAGGGTGGGTATCCTAAGATGGTAGGCCCTTCACCAGAGCTTATCAGGGGAGAGGATGGTGGGTGACAATCCACTGGAAGCAAAAGGGATGACTCTCAATATAAAAGATTTCTTATGATTTCAAGGGAAATGGAGTGAGTGCCAGTTGGGAAAATAATTGGGAATCCTAGAATTTCTGGGCTTTCATATGGACCTCTGGGACCATGGGCAGGTAGGAATGGCCTGCAGCCTGGGGACATGTGGCATCTGCCCCCTCAAGTTGGTGACTTCCTCTCTTTTTCTTCCCAGGAGCCCCAGTGGCACCAGCAACAGGCAGAGGGGATTTGTCATTGCCCCCTCCACCCACTCCCACAACCCAACTTCTGGACCCTTCACCCCAGTGGCCTGCAGACCTCAGCTTCTCCCTCTGAATTTCAAGTCTCCAAAGATCAGAACACTGGAGGGAGCGGGGGTGCAGGCAGAGAGGGGCTTGATCTCCTTGTTTTGCTCAGGAGTAGCTTGGGCATCCCCATCTCTTTTCTCCTCTCCCTGTGAAGAGGACCCACATCTGGCTTCTTTCCCAAGAAGGGGAAAGGTCATTTCTCATGTCCCTGCCCTTGAAGGACCTCCTTCCCCCAGCTTTTGTCACCATGCTCTTCCTGGTGCCAGGCTCTGCCAAGGTGCTGGGCCACCCTCACCAGCTAGATTCCAACGCTGGGGAATGGCAGACTCAGAGCACCAGGAGTGGGAATGTTGCCTGTGGAAGGGGAGCCTTTTGCTACAGTTTGTAACTTATTTTCTAAAGTCTATTTTGTAACAATTTATTTAAGTTTAAAAAATGGAAAATTGCTCCCCCCAAAAAAAGAAAATTTCAAAAGAGATGACTGGTGTGATTGTATCTGAGAGAATGAAGTATAGGGAAAACTGGGGATGCCTGCATTGGACAGCAGAGCTGAGTGTGGGAAGACCCACAGGTGACATCTCTGACCTGCAGGGCAGAGAGTGGGAGCATCTTCTGATTTTGGGCAGGCTCTTCCCATAGCCAGATGAGCTGTTGGGCTGCCTCAGGGACTGGAACTACACATGGCGTGGAGGCTGGGGCAGAAGAGTTGATGTGGGAGTTGCCTCACTTTTCTCGCGTCCTGTGAACAGCCTAGAGAGTCACCTGTCAACAGCTGGCTGGTTGACCTGTCAAGGTGAAAAAGTAGGGTGGGGTTGGCTTCATCCTCACAACTTAGTTCCCTCCCTTAAAAGTAGTGTCTGTCTTGGTTCCTGTGGCAGATGAGAATACTGAAGTTCAAAGAGGTTAAGAGGCCTACTCCCTAGTATCCACATGGGTCTGTCCAGTGCTCTTCCCCATCCAGGTCAGCTACAGGTGGGTTAGAATAGTGCTCTCACTAGATTGAGAGAGGAGTCTAGAGAAAGGCAGTTCATCAGGAAACCCTCGGGGTCACATACTCCAGTTGGCTAGGCAGCTTCCAGCCTCAATCTCAGGCTCTGGCTCCTCAGCGAAGTAGACCTGCCAGTCCAAACTGCTGATCCAGTCCTCATAGGCAGGGAGTGCTGTGAAGACCGCAGGCTGTGCAGGGCCTTGGCAGGCATCCCCAAAGCTATGTAGACCAGCCAGGAACCATGTGCCCCTCACCTTGTGCACCAGTGGTGCTCCAGACAGGCCCTGTGAGGTCAGGTGACACTGGGTGACTTCCTTTTTTTTCTTTAGGCAACTGGGGAAGAGCAAAAGGGGCTAGGGACTGGATCTCTGGCAGTTTGGGGGCTAGTTGGCAGAAAGGATTACTTTCAGGTGGGATTAGAGCTAGAAGCCAAGCCTGACAGGTCTGTTCATGAACTGCAGGGTGAGGGAGGGCTGGGGGTCTGTTGGGTATGGTTTGATGAACTGGGTCTCACCTCACAGTGGGGCAGCTCACCCACAACACTGGTACACACCATCCCTGGCAAAATGGGGATACCATCACTTCCAGAGGCTGCATGCAGACGACTGCAGGCTCTTGGCCCCAAAAGAGTCACAGGTACCAACTGGGGGAAGCTGATGCCTACAGGACAAAGGAAAAGAATCAGAATGTCCCATTGGCCTTTAGGCTGGATGGACAACTGCTGATGGCCTGGTTCTACATACCTGCTCCTTGGTAGGCCATCCCCAGGACCCAGCCACGTTCCCCATCAGGCAGGTGGTGATCAATGTAGGGCAGGCAAAGGGGCCGCACTTTGGGGCCTAGTGTCACAGGTTGGGCCAGCAGCAAGAGGGCCATATCATAGCCCCCCTCTGGGTGGGTATAGGCCCCATGGAGGATGAGTTGCTTCAGGCTGTGCTCCTCTGTTTCAGCCCCTAGCCCTACACTCCACTCCTCTAGGGTCTGGCGCCTGTGCAGAGGCAGCATTGAGAGCACTGGGTAACAGAACTGGGGCAAGGGGCACAAAGGAGAGGTGCAAGAGCTCACCCAATGAAGCAGTGGGCAGCGGTCAGCACCACCTCCTCTGACACAAGGGCTCCGCCACAGGCCAGTCTCCCCTGGTGCTTCAGCCTGGCATCCCAGGGCCACTGGGAGGGGGTTCCTGCCTGGGGACCATTGGTCCTCAAGGATCCACAGGCTGAAAACGACATAATTCATATGTCATTTGACTTAAGTGTTCACTGTGTGCCAGGCCTTGTGCTTAAATATTTCCTATGCGCTATCAAATCCTCTCAATATCCTTTTAAATTGACTTTTGTTACCCTCATTACCAGAAGTAACCAAAGTTCCTGAGAAGTTAAGTGACTTTCTTCTAGCTCTTAAACCAAGAGCAAGTAGCAGACTTGGGATTCAAAAGTCAGGGATGGCTGGGAGTGGTAACGAAGGCCTGCGATCCCAGCCACTCAGAAGGCTGTGACAGGAAGATCACAAGTAATGAGGATAGCCTGGGCAATTTTGTGAGAGACTTCCTCAAAACAAAAGGGCTGGAGATGTAGCTCAGTGGGAGGGAGCTCCTGGATTCAAAAGCCAACCTGAGCTCTTAACCCAGATGGTCTGACAGTACTCTGTCCCAGTCTTCCAGGAAGGGCCCTGCTCATCACTCCCCCGCTCCACCCATCTGCACTCCTCCAGGCCTGGACTGGCTCCAGAATTCCTGGCTCACTTGTGCTTCTCTCAACATCCAGACATAGCTTCCTTCCCAGGAATTATTTTGCATGCAGTTTGCATGTCAGTCACTTAATGCCAGGTGTCTGAGTGGGTGCCCTGCCCTGTCTCACTGAATCTCTGTGCGGAAGCTTGTAGCTTCCCCAAAAAACTTCCACTCAAATCTCAGTGATCCCTTTTCTTACCTAAACTCCAAACCCATAAAGCTCCAAGCATCCTATACCTTTCAGCCCCAATGGGGTTATTCCCATCCCAAGGGCCAAAAGAGGCCTTAAAGGCCCATTGGTAGTGTGTTGTATCAACTCTATTCTGTATTTTTTAAAAATATTTTTGTCAATGGATCTTTTTTATTTTATTTTATTTATTTATATGTGGTGTTGGGGATCAAACTCAGGGCCTCACACATGCCAGGCAAGTGCTCTACCACTGAGCCACAACTCCAGCCCCTCAACTCTATTCTGAACTGAAGTTTGCTTTACTGTGGCTTCCACCTGCTGCCCAGAAATCCTCATGCAGGCTTCAGTATCCCCATACATCCCCACTCTGAACACTTGCTCATACCTACACAGCTGTCCTCATCACTGGTCTCCACAGTCCCTGGGTTCTGGGCCAGGAAGGCTGCCCCCTGAGCATGAGCCTGCAGCCAGGAGCTATGAGCAGCTATGTCGGTCAGCAGCACAGGATTGTCCTCCTGAGCACATCTTGATGCAAAGCTGATGATCCCTGCCTGAACCCAATGTCCATCAGGCTCACGGCACAGCACAGGACCTCCAGAATCTCCCTGGAGCCAGGCAATGGAGACAAGGACAGACACCCTCTGACTGCAGCCCTTCTATTCTTCTCTGGGTTGAGCCCCCCAGCCCAAGGCTAGGTTCCCTCTCCTTTTCCCTTCCCCTCAAACCTGACAGGGCCCCTGCACCCCAGGCTGAGCACCCCCACACAGCATTCCCGGCCTAGCTGGGCTAGCCAGGAGCCGCTGATGCAGCCGGTTGTAGAGACAGTTACACGTGGGACGGCTGATTAGATGCAGGCGCAAATTCCGTAGGGTCCTGGGAGCTGGCAAAAAGATAGGGGTTAAGGCTGGAATCTGAGTTCTGGGAAGCAAGGGAGACTTGGGGCCGGGCCAGGCAGGAGATAAGACTATGTGTCATTGGGATAGCAGAGTGCCTCTTTGGGCTTTAGGCTAGGATGGCACTTACCATCACTGGTGTCTTGATCCCAGCCAGTGGCCCAGCAAGAGGCTCCAAAGGGGAAGCGATGCCCAGGTTGGGGTAGGCAGAGGGGTGTGTGGGCTGTGGGGTGGGCAAGCTGAAGCAGGGCCAGGTCTGAGCCCTGGCTGTAGTGGTTATAGGCCTTGGGCAACTGTAGGGCAGCCACCCCCACCTCCTCAGCCCCTGGGCTTAACCCCTCACGCTGCAGAGAACCAAGGACAACGGACCAGGAGCTCAGTTCTGTCGATGCTGCCCTGGAATAGGAAAGGTAAGACCCAGGCTATTGAGTGCAAGGAGAGAGTGACGCCATAGGAGATAGCACAGGTAGGTGGAAGGTGGGAAGATATTAGTCCATGACTTTAAGCACAGTAGTTCCTTTTCCTTCCAGCTCAGTCATTTGTAAATGAAAGGTTGAGTTTCTGAGTTCCTACCATGAAAGTTTTTTTGTTTTGTTTTGTTTTTTGTTTTTTGGTGCTGAGGATTGAACCCAGGGCCTTGTGCATGCAAGGCAAGCACTCTACCAACTGAGCTATATTCCCAGCCCCAAGGTTGTTGTTAAAATTAACTTGAGAATATGTACCTGACATATGTCAGATTATCAAATGGAATTTGAGGTGCAGGGACTAGTTTTGAGGGGCATGGGAACAAATCATCCACCCCTAAGCCAGAGACCCTACCTGACCCCAACCATGACTCACTTTTCAAAGCAGTGGGCAGCGGTGAGAACCCAGGTGTCTGCCACAAGGGAGCCACTGCAGATGTGGACTCCCTGCCTCCTCACACTGGCCTGCCAGGGCCATTCACCAGGTGCTGTGTTGCCCTCCTGAGGCTTCGGGGGGCCAGGGCCACGCTGCCCACAGACTGTGGAGAGGGATGGGTCAGACAGACTGCTGACCCCTGTCCTGCCTCCACCCCACGCCTGACCCAGACCCAAGTAAGATCCAGCCTCCATGTCCCCACATCTTTCCCCAGAGCTTACCACGCTGAGCTGCTTGAAGACCTGGGGGAAAAAAAGAGACCCAGGTGAGGCTTGGGGGCACCTAACCTCCTGGTTCAGGCTCAGTGGGGACAGTCCCTGGGTCCTTGCCTATGACTCTGGCTACCTCACCAGCCCCTCCCAGAATGAAAATATTTATATGAGGCCGAGAAACAGCTTTTATTGGAACCCATTCAGAGTGCACACTCAGTAATTAGTCCTCCTCCCTCAGCTGTGCTCATCATTCCTGGGCCTGAGAAACAGAGCCTGGGGTTCAGCTTGGGACCAGACCAACCTTCCTTTAGCCTTAAGAACCCCCAACTCCTGCCCCCAGCATTGAGTCAGGGAGGCAGCCTGTGTTTGTGGAGAGCATTAGCTTAATTGTCTCTTTAGCTGTGGAGGCCTAAGAGAAGGATTAGAAGCCTACGTCATGCCCAATTGGGGAAGAGCCCCAAAAGATTGAGACTCACTCCACCCCTATTCTAACAACTCCAGACTCCCCAGCTTCCCAGGAGCTGCCAGGGGTTCTACCAAAGGGTCCCTGCCTTGCCTGTTCTCCTTCATAGGCATACATAGACCCATTGAACATCTTAGCTGAGAGATCCAAGATGGGATGGAGGAAAGACAAATACCCAGGCCAGGGGTGCCCCTGAACTTGCCTGAGGTAAGTCTGAAAGCAGAGAGGCAGACAGCATAAGACATACACATAGGCAGGACTACCCAGAGACACAATGAAAGTCCCTGCAGACACAGATTAACCCTGCTCAAAAAAATCATACCCATTTTGACATAGGTGGTCACATATCCCCCTGCCCAAACAACCACACTGACATCATCTTAGGCAGACTGTTGCCCCAGACAGGATCCCTCACCAAATTGCAGGGGCTGAAGAGCAGAGGGTGGCCTGTGAACCCCTACCATGTCACTCCCCACTCCCTCACCAATGGGTGGCTTACCTTCTATAAGGACCACCACTCCCAGGATGAGCAGTACTGGTCCCCAGCTCTGCTTCATGCTGCTCCAGGCCACTCTGCTGCCTGTGCTGTGGTTGTCAGAGAGGCCACCTGGGTCTCCCTGGCTCCACCTCTGCTCCGCCCCCAGTTGGCTAGTAGTCAGTAGTCATAGCTTTTTTTGGGCTGGAGGGTAGCCAGCAGCTCTTAGCTTTGGGGCTATGGCTGTGTGACCCTGAGCTGGTCAGTCACCCCTCTCTGGGACTTAACCATGGAGCCAGACTTCCTGGGTTCAAATCCCAGTTCCTCCACTTAACTTAAGTCACCTTGAACAGTTAACTTGTCTGTGCCTTTGTCAGAAAAACTCAGAATTGGGGCCTGGGGTTGTGGCTCAGTGGTAGAGTGCTCGCCTGGCACGTGCAAGGCCCTGAGTTCAGTCCTCAGCACCATAAATAAAATAAAGGTATTATGAGAATAAATAAAATGAAGGTATTATGTCCATCTACAACTAAAAAATATTAAAAAAAAACCGAAAATGAACAAAACTCAAGAGTTGATGTTGGGCATGGTGACACACACTTGTAATCTCAGTGACTCAGGAGGCTAAGGCAGGAGGAAAGCCAACCTCAGCAACTTGGTGGGATCCTGTCTCAAAATTAAAAGGGCTGGGGATATGGCTCAGTAAAGACCCCTGGGCTCAGTCCCTGGCATAAACAAACAAAAATATTCAGAATTGTTGAATGTGAAAATGCTTTGATGAGAGCCTGGCTTCTAATAAACTTGCTTCCAGCATAGAAACATTCCCCTGGAGCTGCGAAGGATATGGTTGACAGACCTTCCTAGTTTCCATTTTTATTTTGTCTTCCCTGCCTATCTCAGGCCAGGGCCAGGTAGGTTTCACATACCTTCTCCTGATGTCTGCTTCAGAGATGCATTATACAAAGGTGGGTTTGGGATCAGATCTCTGTGCTATTTACTGGTCATGAATCTATGGCAAATCCCAATCTCTCTCTCTGGGCCTGTTACCTTCCCAGGAAATAAGGTTACATTGATGCCCGCTTTTCTTACAAATGCTGGAAAAGTTGGAAGAGAATATTTGGAGTGCATTTTTTTTCCTCTGACTTCTACCTAAGGCCAACCAGAAACCTCAACCCAGAAGCAGATATGGGACTGGGGGTGTAGTTTAGTGGTATTGTACTTCCCTCATATGTGTGAGGCCCTCCAGGAAGAAACAAAAAAAAACAAAAACCCTGAGATCTCCCTAATTCTTTCCTGGTACTAGGTGTATGATCTTAGGCAAATTACAACCTTTGTGTACCTCAGGTTCCTAACCAAGATAGAAATACTAATAACCCTGCTTCCTACAATTGCTACAGTGATTAAGTACATTAACAAAAATTCTTAAAATAGTGCTTGGCACATGAGCAAGTCATCAGTACTTATCAGGAAGAACAAAAACACAACCTGGCCCTGACCCTCCAAAACTGCCAAGACTGGCTTGGAATGGTAGATAAGGCAGTTGGAGGGACTGAGGTTAGATTATAGGAAGATGTTCACAGCACATATGCCCAGAGCCAGAAGGGCAACTTGTCCTTGCAGGTATGTGCTTGGAGGGCTGGCACTTGTGGGCAGGAAGGACAAGCTGCCAGCCTATTTCCTGAGGGTGGGAGCTGATGGTGCCCCAGACCTTGCTGACTCCATTACTAGAGGTGAGACTAACCACAAACACCCTTCCCAGACTGGCCCTCCACTCTCCCTCTGACTCATCCTTCCCAGTTCCAGAGAAGGCAACACTGGGGGAAGCCCAAAACCAGTATCCCTAGCAGACAAATGGTTCAGACTTAACCAACTTTATTTAAGAAATTTTATTGCTCAGAACCTTCTCTCCTTGGGCAATTGCAGAAACCTGCCCTTGGGTCAGAGCTAGAGGCACATTTGGTCCATTTTCCTGTGTATGGTTATGGAAGGGATGTGTGTCCAGGGGAGGATGAAGGACCTTCTAGGTACCCAGACATAGCCCCCTTGGGCAAGGCTCATGTGCTAAAGCAAAGCAGATGTAGTCAGCCTGGTTTGGGGTGAGGCCTCAGTGTCCTTTGGCCTTGCTGTGGGGTTCCTGAGCCTCCCGGAAACTAAGCAACATCAGGCCCACGTTGACAGCATAGGTGGTGATGCAAACAATGCAGAAATCATAGAGCACGAAGAACAGGATCCAGGCCAAGTAGACAGAACCAGCAAGGGATACCAAGGAACTCAGTATCAGTAGGATAGAGGCCCAGCGTCCCCGCAGGCAACCTGCAAAAAGCAGAAAAAAATAATGGCCACATCTAGAACACTGTCATGACTTCTGGTGCTCCTTAGACTGCAGGGGAAAGGTCTCTAAACTAAAGACACTCTGGCAGACCCCCTCTAAGACCTTTGTTTACCTATCTGTTCAACGATCCCAGGTTTCCAAATAGTGAATTTTCTTACAGAGCTCTACACAAGACGAAAGGGTTATCTTTGGATTCTCCTCAAAAAGGAACTTCTGGCAAGGTGCAGTGGCACATGCCTTTAATCCTAGCTACTGGGAGACTGAGGCAGGAGGACTGTGAGTTTGAGGCCAGTTTGGGCATGTCTTTAAAAAAAAGAAAGATCCAGGGGCATGGTGCATGCATGTAATCCCAGTGACTCAAGAGGCTGAGGCAGGAAGATTACAAGTTCAAAACTAGCCTTAGCAAATTAATGGGGCCCTAAACAATTTAGGGAGACCCTCTCTCAAAATAAAATATAATGGGAATAGAAAAGACAGTAGAATGAATGGGACATAACTTTCCTATGTACATATATGAATATACAAGCAGTGATGCTCCAGATCACGTACAGCCGCAAAAATGGGATCTAAATTATAATAAATTATATTCTATGTATGTAAAATATATCAAAATATACCCTACTGTCATGTATAGCTAAAAATAATAAAAAATTTTTATAAAAATAAAATATAAAAAGGATCCTAGGAAGTCTTTAGGGGTTGGTCAGCCTCTGACCTAAACCAATTGAAAGACTCCTGTTAGTGCCCTCCCTGCCTTCTTGCCCCAAGAATGCTTAGTGATGAGCAGCTGGCTGTCAACTGTCTGGGTGGGACTGGGTTTGCCTAGATTGAAGGGGCAGGGCCACTCACCTAACCCCAGCTGTAGAGTGTAGAAAATGCAACCGAATATGCTGTTGGATTGATTGAGGACGCTGTCTGCTCCCAGCACATGCTCCACCAGCCCGAAGCCACGGCCCCACCTGGTGGTGGTGGTGGTCGTGGGGACCCAGGTTAGTAGTGTCAAGCTAGTGCCTTGGACTTTGTCCTAGAAAGGTGATTTCCAAGAAGCCACCTGGGCTGGTTGCCCCAATTTTTTATTCCCCATCCACCCGAGGGATCCAAAGGTCCATGACCTCCTGACCTCCCGAATGTTTGGCCACGTCAGGATTCCATATCACTGCCGCTGTCCTCCCTTATCCCCAGGGCTGGCCATCGCTCTTCCAGGCACCTCTCTATCCTGGACCTTCAATAATCTTTAGATGACAAGGATGGCGTAACCTTTTCCCAAGATGGAAAATCTGGGGCACATTCTCCTAGCCCTGGACTCACAAACATCCAATTTCCTGGCCACCCAATCCCTTCTTCGGTATTCCATCATCGCACTAACTATTAAACCCCTGGTCCTCAAGCACAGCCATCTTTAGTCTCCTGCTCCCAGGCAGTCATTACCAGCATTCCCCTCCCCTCGCGCCACGCTCAAGACCACGTCAGTTCCTACTCGTTACCTCTCCCCCTTTCCCGTTAACCGTTGTTCTTTGGCACCCAGATCCACGTGCGATCTCCAGTCCCAGTCCCCAGGACTATCTTCCCCTGTGCCCTGCTCTCTTATCTGGAACTTTATTATCTCTTTATTATCTCTATTAGCCCAGCCCCTGTGCACACTCGATTTGCTGGGCAGTTCGGTTTCAAAGTGTCCGTTCCCTGTGCACCTGGATTCCAGACTCCGTCGGGCCCAAAGCATTCTACTTGCACGCGCACCTGGAGGAGAAGACGCGCGAACAGCTGATGGCAGTGCCGACGTCGCAGAGGGCGCGGTAATCTTGGTCGCGGGCGCGCGCCGCTTTCACGTGTAGCGCGTAAAGGGAAAGCACTAAACCGGTGAGGCAAAGGGCAAACCGCACCCACCCAGGATTCCTCCAGGTGGTGCCCATGTCTGCGGGTCCAGCCGGAGGCGCCAGTTGGAAGAGAACCAGACACAGAGCAAGGACTGGCAGAGTAGGGCCACGTCCTCTACCACCTCTATGATTGGGCGATTGGCCTGCCATTCTCCAACTCTCGGATCCAATTGGTTGTTCTTGACATTCAACAGGCGTGAGGGCAAGGTAGGGAAACAGCTAGGAATTCTGGGAATGGTAAACTGAATTAAACTTAATTGCAGACGAGGCGGCTATCAGGCATGCTGGGAATTGGAGTAGGAGAGGATGCAGGGCATCAAGGGAAATGGAGTCCCTAGAATTTTAAAAAATAAGCGTTGGGGTATACTGCTCTGCAAGAGAGCGATTACCTAGCATTCTCTGGAGGCCCGG